GCGTTGACAAAAAGTGCGATGCTAAACAGAAAGGATGTCGAAAATATATTTAAGCGAACGAGTTCTGATCAATGGCAAAACGAGTGATATTTCTTACAAGCAAAGTAGAAATACGAAATTGGCAAGTCTCTCTGAACACTTTTGCTACTTCTTTCCGGCTTTTTGCTGTGAAAGCTCCCACTTTAAATAGCAGCGGCAGCAAGGATGGAACGAAAGAAAATTCTTGCGATGGAGGTTGGAAGAAGGAGCATTGTATCGGAAACTGTTGCATTTTATTTAAACATTTTGCTGAAATTGTACTGGTTTGCCATTTCAAAACATTTTTTCTGTGTTGATTAAAAGGGGTTGTGATAGAGGAATAATTTGGTGTAGCCATTTCATTTGACTGCGGTACGATACGTTTTCTAAGAGTTTGTTACTTCAGACTTCTGGAGAGATTAATTCGCGGACAATTTCCCAGTCACGGGAACTATGCTTTAAAAGCATTATGAGCTACGTTCTAAAGTAATAACCCAGTCGTCAGTTACGCTCACAACGTTTTCTGTTGAAAATTTTTTCAATGGCGTTTTGAAAGATCTTTGAGTTTATTGCGAAGCTGCAAATCAGCTTACAAAGATGTCTGGGTTTGGGAAGCTGTACTTACTTTTGAACTCTTCTATCTTTTTGGCTTACGTGCACCTAAAAGATGATTTTCAGTTTTGCATCTTTATTTTTGTTCGTGCACAGTTGGATTTTTTGAGCCCTTTCAAGTTTTAATTGTTTTATGTTTGGTGACAATGGTAATAACCCTTTTATTCTGAAAGGTCCCTAATATACACACCTTACCTTTTTCTGCTGTTCTTTCGTTCTTTCTTCTGGGGAATGTTTGATAAGAGTTTAATTGTATCCTACAATTTACAATGTTGGTAAATTAGAGAACAAAAATTTTTTTACATTTTGTTTGTTGTTACACGGAGCACTGGTTTGGAAGAAAAAAAATTGAGAGCAGAAGAAAAGTTGAGTTTTGTACACTTTTACACACCGATTGCGAATTCGACATAATATAGTTTTTCCAAAATGGTAGCATAAATGGATAGGGATGTTTTGATAATGTGGAGGAAAGCTGCTGTTTCGAATACATATTACCTTAACAAAACTTTTGGAAGCTTTA